CTTCTGGTCCAACCTCCTGCTCAATCAGGAGACCCTATACCATTCTGGGCAAATGGCTGTCCAATCTCTTCTTGAAAACCTCCAGTGTTGAAGCACCCACATCTTCTGGAGGCAAGTCATTCCACTGATTAATTCTTGCCAGTCAATATAGAAAGATGCTGCAGAATTACATGAATGGTATGAAATTGTCAAACTTAGCTGGAAAATTTTATTTTGAATTATTTTTCCATTTAAAGTCTTGCACGTAATTCCTATGTATTTATTTAGGATATACAATTAGTTTTAAAATAAAAGGTTGCTAAGCTACTCATACATTGTTTTGGGCTGGTTGCTGGGAATTGGAATATGGGAGACAAAAGATGTCTAACAGATCTAGACCTAATGATCTTCTCACATCTCTTCTGCTGAACTTGCTTTGCATTCTAGGCTTATAAAATGATGACCAAGATAGGTAGATTAGTTCAGTCAAATACCTTAAATCAAGCTGGCTGAGGAACTCTGGGAGTTGAAATCCACAAGTCTTAAAGTTGCCAAGGTTGGAGACCCCTGCCTTAAATAATACAGTCAGATACAATTATGTGAGCTCAAAATTTGCTGGTTCTATCTTGGTGAAATTATGGAATCAGCTCTATATAGTTTATTTACATAGTTCCCTGGCTTTGTAGGTTGGAATTAGATATTGTCTCAAAGCAAAATGCTTAGAAACTGACATATCTTTATGATGGTTGAATGTCCTGGGATCAAGTGATCACCATTTGCATCCTTCCCAGATGGCTTCCAACAAATAAGTCAATGGGGGAAGCCGGATTCACTTAAGGACTGCTTTATTCACTTAACAGCTACAGTGATTTGCTTAATAACTGTGGCAAAAATAGTTGTAATGTCGGGTGGATTCACTAAACAACTGTCTTGCTTAGCAATGGAAGTTCTGTTCTCAGTTTTGGTCATAAATCGAGAACCACTTGTAGAGCTGTTACAAAGGATGCTAGATCATGAGCTTCAATCTGATTCTTGCTTGTAATTCTCAAAAGTCATTGTCTGTTCCTTCAGTTCAAAGTTCTCTGTGGCTGAGGGGATAAATAAGGCTACAAAGCCATCATCCTTGGAATTAGGCATGGTGGTTGAACTTCAACCCTAAACTAGACATAGACGGAAATACGGAGGGCTGTTTCATGTGATCTTCTTAAGGACCTTCCAGGCATGCCAGTTCCCAAAAGCATGGGAGATGACCCATCTTGTTCAGTCCACAGTTCTTAAGTGACTCAAGACTAATTATTGGACAAAGCTGGACAACTTCCCCTCTCGGAAATCTCCCCCCTTGCGTTACTGGCGTTTTTCTATACAATGCATCAGTAGGTTTTGCGTCGATGAATTGTGGACATCCACAAAAACACCAGAATCCTGCACAACGCACCCAGGTAAATACTTAGGATTTGCAGGGTAAGCCTCTTTTTTGGGGGGAGAAAAATTGCCTTAATCACCCCAAATTAACTTGCTTCCCAGCCCAACCATTTCAGGAATTGTTTTTAAGCTGGAAGGATTCTAAACTTGCCTGCCATCTATCCTTCAAGCGCCATAATCAATATTTTTTTGGCACACAGACCATAAATAATCTCTCTTAAAACGTCCCTTTCTTTGCATGAGTTTTCCACAACCATCTCCCCCAAAAAACTGCACAATTTCCTCCCAAGCAGAAAACAGCCAATTTTCAGCCCCGTATTAACAATTCTCTCCCCCCCCCCCAATCCCTGGATTTAAATTGCAACTTTGCCTCTTTGTATGTATTTATTACTTGACGTAATAAAGCTTATTTTCAGTAAAAAAAAAAAAAAAGACTAATTACTTCCATAGATTATAGTGAAGCCAAGGCATTAATCTGTAATGTTAAAATCAGTATATAGCAATTATTAATTATAAGAGAAGAGAAGGACTAAGCAGAATTGGGGATAAAAGCAAACCAGCCACCCAAGAACACAATAGCTGGACACCATCAAATCTGACACCAGCCAGAGCATAGAACAATTTAAAGAAACAATGCAAGATTGAAAGACGTGGAGAAACTGGATCCATAGATTCTCCAAGAGTCGGACACGACTAAGTGGATAACATCATCATCATCATCATCAGGCAGAATTAAATATCACCGTAATCTAATAATTACTCTTTGGGTTTGTTACTACCGGTTCTGTGGGCGCGGCTTGGTGGTGGGGTAATGTGACTGGGTGGGTGTGGCCAACTTTTTTTTTTGTACTTTTAAAAGCATTTTTTCTACAACCTTAAGAGGTTGCAGAAAAAAAATGCTTTTAAAAGCCTCTGACGATCAGGCAACTCAGCTGGGATCGTCAGAGGCTTTTAAAGACTTTTTTTTTTCTACAATCTTCGGCCGAAGAGGCTTGTTTGTTTTATTTTTAAAAGCATTTTTTCGGCTGAAGTTGTTGTAGAAAAAATGCTTTTAAAAGCCTCTGACGATCCCAATTGAACCGTGCGATCATCAGAGGCTTGTTTTTTTTACTTTTAAAGCATTTTTTCGGCTGAAGTGGTTGTAGAAAAAATGCTTTTAAAAGTAAAAAAAAAAACGCCTCTGATGATTGCGCGGCTCAGCTGGGCATGGGGGGAGGGGGGTGGGCAGGGATTTTTGCTACCTGTTCTCCGAACCATCCCTGGCCATCGCTACTGGATCGGGTGATCCGGTCCGAACCAGGAGCATTTCACTCCTTGGTGTGATCAATAAATGTGTGGAAAGCTGAATGCTCAACATTAAAGCAAGGCCTAAAAAACGTTGGTAATCAGTAAAACACATGCAATGCAGCACATGTGTGTTTTTTTTTGAACTCATGTTTGCCTTCAAGCAGTAGTTAAAGTATTTTAGTTTCTAGGTTATTCTTAGGGTCTATTGCAATATTCTAGCATGTTTTGAGCTACAGCTTCATTATTAGATTTTTATCTGATCTTTATTACATTATCAGTAATTTAAGGTGGCAAACATATCCAGCACACCACCTCCTATGTTCTCCACAATGACAGAGCCTGTGAGGTGGGTTGGGCTGGGAGAAAGGAACTGCACCTCTTACCCAGCCAGCTTTCATGTCCAATGTAGGACTAGAACCTAAATCTCCTGATTTCTAGGCCAGCACCTTAACTACCACATCAATCATCATTCTCGTGCAGAACTACTGATGGCCAGAAATAAAGGAGTCTTCAAATTTCTATGGGGAACAGGCCAAAAGGTTGCTTACCTCTGAACTGAACTTAAATCCATCCTTTTCGGAAGATGTTGATCAGTATTCTGGTACCATCCTTGCAGACACTTTGGAATGATGACGTTCCATTTATCATTACCAAAATACCTTACAAACACACTTTAAAGCAGAGGTGTCCAACCTTGGAAACTTTAAGACTTGTGGACTTCAACTTCCATGCTGGCTGGGGAATTCTGGGAGTTGAAGTCCACACATCTTAAAGTTTCCCAGGTTTCCTGCTTTCAAGGTTTCAGCAATGGTGATGGTGAAATAAGATTTCTTTATGGCCCTCCCTGTTGCAGAGTAATTTTGAAAATGGATTCTTGTATACATTTGCATTTGTTCTAAGTCTTCTACTGTTTATGTTGCCTTTCTCTCTCTCTCTCTCTTTAAAATATATTGTTATTGTTTACATATAAATCTATTGAATACAGTGCAATTGTCCTGGCATCCCACTTTCCATGAAACAAAGATAAAAACAAAATAACATATATACTATTTTAAACAGTGCTAGTGTTGTACAGTTATTTCTGACCATCATATTCTAGGACAGTGATGGCTAATCTTTTCGCTGTCATGTGCCAAAAGCGGGGGGAGCACGGGGAGGTCGCCCATGTGTATGCCCACACCCATAATTCAATGTGCCCTGCGCATGCGCACACGCCCTCCCCCCCCGCTTTTAACATGTGATGGCCCGGTAGGCCCGTTTTTCACCCTCCCCAAGCTCCAGAGGCTTTCTAGGAGCCTGGGGAGGGCAAAACAGCCTTCCCCACCACCCCCTGGAGGCCGGACACAGCCCATTTCCCAACTTCTGGTGGGACTGGAAGGCCCAAAAATCAGCTGGCCGGCGCACACGTGCGTGCTGGAGCTGAGCTACAGCAATGCTTGCGTGCCCACTGATATGGCTCCGTGTGCCACCTGTGGCACCCGTGCCATAGGTTCGCCATCATGGTTCTAGGATGTTAACTTATCTATCATTCTAATATTTACATTCCTATATCAATATTAAAAATAATATCTCTTTCCATGTCCATCTAGCCTGATTCTTTTGCCTGCCAATTTCTACATCGTGTTTCTAACCATTGATGGAATCTACTCCATGTTGTATAGTATTCTGTATCTCCTTTACCTTTTATTTTTAGCGTTAGTCTGTCCATTTCCGCACAGGTTTAATATCTTCCTTATCGTCTCCTCCTCTGAAGGGGTATTTTTGCTCTTTTACTGCTGCGCATACACAATTCTTGCTGCAGTCAAGGTGTAATATTAGGTATATTGTCTCTTTATCATAACCATCTGATATAATGCCTAATAAACATGATTCTGGCTTAAACTCTATATGTTGTCCAGTCATTTTTTCTAACCACATATGAATTTGTATCCAAAATTTCCTTGCCTTTATACAGGTCCACCACATGTGGTAATATGTCCCAGATATTTGTTTACATTTCCAACAATTTGGGGACGTATTTCTAAACATTTTAGCCAATCTTGCCTGCGGCAGATGCCATCTATAGAACATTTTTATGTTGCCTTTTTCCAGGGCAGGCGTAGAAACCCAGTGATTTGGACAAAGAGGCATATTTGTGCTTTACAAAACATTATGCAATTTACCTGCATGAAATCCTTGATTACAATAAGCCTTTTATTGGATTCAGAAAAAGCTGGCCCAACATGATGCATGTATATACAAGCCGATTTGGATAAACTTGGCTTGACTAAACCACGCTGAGTCTCTGATTATCCGCTTTCTTCTTATTCTAGGTATACAAAACTGGGCTACGCTGGAAATACTGAACCACAATTTATTATTCCATCATGTAAGTAGAGGGTGTTTTCAGAATACGTGCTGATCAGTGGAGAGAGACAAGCATTTGGCTTCTCTACTGTCTCTAGTGAGTTTTCTTTGGGGGTTGAGGGTGGGATGTGTGGGCCCCTTCTTCTGTGAAGTATTTACTACATTAGTGTCCTTGGCTAGTATGGAGCTGGAGAGACAAAGGTCTCCTTGCCAAGACTGGCCCTCATTAAGCCACTTTCCGGTTGCTATGGCAAATCCTCCTTCCTTCCTATCTCTATTATGTGCACTGCCACAGATCTGCCTTGACGAACAAGTGACTTCCTTCTTTACCTGACACCATGGATACAGTTTGAAAGACTTTTCACTTGGGGTACCCTTTGGGCAGTTTGTATTCTGAATTGAAGATGCCATCTGGCTGTGGAACGAAGCACCTCTCTAATGGCAAATATTTAACTTAAAGCAAGCGCACCAACCGTTTATTTGCTTTCCAACTCTTTCATTTAGGCATTGCAATAAGAGAATCGGCCAAAGTAGGTGACCAGGCACAGAGGAGACTGGCCCAAGGTGTGGATGATCTAGACTTTTTCATTGGAGATGAAGCTCTTGTCAAGCCCACCTATGCTACAAAGGTAAAGTTGGAGCGAATAATGGGAGTGTCGGGCACAAAGAATCGAGACCATGCATTGAGTTTTGCTTCAGAAGATTTATTGCTCAAAACTATATTCAAGAATCTCGTCAGTTAAAGTTCAGTACTAAATTGGCACCAGTTAAGAGTCCACAGAATTCAAGAAGGGTTGGAATTAGACTGTGGGAACGTAATGACTCTAAGCTAATGACGTGCTTAACTCCATCACCCCCTCTGATATATTGAGCTTTCAAAGGATTGGATCAGCAGACAGTTCTTTGCATTTCAGACATCTGCAGAAAGGATTCAAATAAATCAAGATGGCAGATGTACCCACATGATTGAAGCCCTGCTCCTTTTTGCAGAAAGTCCTCAATTTATGACCAGTCACCGACCATGTTTCTCCAAAAAGACGACCCACCTTGAAAAGAAGCCCTTTCACGTTTTTGAGTGCATGTGATCAAATTAAGCCCCACCTACAAAATTAGCCCTAATTAAGACCCTGCCCACCCCGGGGTGCAGGGGGTGGGGCGAGGCACACAGGTAAAAAATAAGCTGGGGGTGTGGATGGGGGTGTGTGGAGCTGCCCTACTTACCAGGCTTCGCACACCCTGACACCTGCCTCGCCTTCTGCGGCCGCTTGCCGCCACTTGCACGCATTGCCCTGGCCTCCGTTTTGCCTTCAGATGCCTGCCGTAGCTGGATCGGTCTGGAGCTCTATTATCGGCTGCAGAGGGCTTTCCGGAAGGCATCTGAAGGCAAAATGGAGGCCAGGGCGGTGCATGCAAGTGGCGGCAAGCGGCTGCAGAAGAAGTGGGCCAGCAGCGGGCTCCTCCTGGTCGGGGCTGTCCATGCCACTGCCGTGAGGTGAGTCAATAATTAGAATCCTCCAAAAAGAAGGCCTATCCATTTTTTTGGCGGTCAAAAGAAAATAAGACCTGGCCTTCTTTTTGGAGAAACATGGTAATGACCATTTGACAGGCCTGAAAAATGGTTCTTACAACCTGGATTTGAAGTGCCAATGTACTGTCCTTCCCAGGATTATGTAACTGCATTTTTAGATGCTCAGTGGCCTGTCTACACTAATGGCTGATTGCAGAGTTGCATGGTCACATGACCACAATTTATGATACTTTTGCTGGAAACTGGTGTTTATTTCTGATTTCCAGTAAAAAACGATCATAGCAAACAAAAGGTTCACTTAACGACTGCAGTGTTTACTTTACAACAGTGGTGGGTTTCAAAAATTATTACTATGATTCTGTGGGTGTGGCTTGGTGGGCGCGGCATGGCTTGGTAGGCGTGGCTTGGTGGGTGTGGCAGGAGAAGGATACTGTAAAATCTCCATTTTCCTCCCAACTCCAGGGGAATGTTTCTGCAAAATCCCCATTTCCTCCCAATCAGCTGGGACTTGGGAGGCAGAGAATAGATGGGGGCGGGGCCAGTCAGAATTTTTACTACCGGTTCTCTGAACTATTCAAAATTTCTGCTACCGGTTCTCCAGAACTGGTCAGAACCTGCTGAAACCCACCTCTGCTTTACAACCTCTGTTGCTCTCTTAATGACCACTGTAAAAAAGATTGTAAAATTGGATGTGGTCACATGATGACCTGCTTAACGACTGTCAGACTTATGACTGAAATCGCAGGCTTCATTATAGTTGTAAGGTTCTTCTCCCTTGTTTTGACCAGAGCATAGGTTCCTGTCTCCTGGGGAGCGTTTAGCAAGTCATAATACATTGTCTTTACTGATTACAATTTGTAGTCACTCTGCATCGGCAGGAAACAACAGGCAGAGAGTCTCACACCTCGGTATTACATTTAATACAATTTATAAAAGAATAAACTTTATTGATTTCCTTTAATGTTAACAAACCTTTTTGGAGTCCATAGGCCCGTGATGGTGAACCTATGGCACGTGTGCCAGATGTGGCATGCAGAGCCCTCTCTGTGGGCACGCCTGCAGTCGCCCCAGCCCAGCTCCAATTGCGTTTCTCCATCGCGTTTCACTCAATCAATTCCAACTTCTCGCGAAAGAAAAAGATCTCACGAAGTTGGAATTGATTGAGTGAACTTTTTCACTCGCGCGCTTCATAATGGGGGAGACAGGATCCCATCCTCCTCCTGAAGCCCATTATGACGTGGAGCTATAATGCAACTCTGCGTCAGCTTGGCTCGGCAAAAAAAAGCAGTTTCTTTTCCTGCAGAGCTGCCTGTGTTGGGATGCCCTGCCTCCCCGCCAGCCAGCTGAGCGTGGACACGCTGCTCCTGGGCTCCGTGGCCTTCAGACATTTATTTATTTATTTATTAGTCACATTTCTATGCCGCCCAACTCCCTAGGGACTCTGGGCAGCTTACAGCAAAAAACAATGCAAACAATATCCCGTAAAATTTTTTTAAAAGAACATTAAAAACCCATACACTCCATTCCATGGCCGGGTTTCGTAAGATCACCGTAGCGAGATCCAACGGCCCCAGGCCTGTCGGAAAAGCCAGGTCTTCATCGCTTTCCAGAAGGCCAATAGGGTGGGAGCAATCCGGACCTCGGGAGGTAATTGGTTCCAGAGAGCCAGGGCAGCCACAGAGAAGGCCCTCCCCCGCGGGCCCGCCAACCGTCATTGTTTAGTTGACGGGACCTGGAGGAGACCAACTCTGTGGGATCTTACTGGTCGATGGGAGCTATGTGGTAGAAGGCGGTCTCGAAGACATCATTCCCACCACCCAGCACCAGTTCAGGGTTTCTTCCCCCCTCCCCCCCATGGGGAGGGGGAAGAGAAACAGAGGGAGGCAGAGAGAGAGATAGAGAGAGAGGGAGGGAAAGCAAGAGAAAGAGAGGAAGGGGAAGGGAAAGAGAGAGAGAGAGAAAGACAGAAAGAGAAAGAGAGAGAGGGAAGGAAAGAGACAGAGAGAGGGAGGGAAAGAGAGGGAAGGAAAGAAAAAGAGGTGAGGGAAAGGGGGAAAGAGAAAGACGGGAAAGGGGGAGAGAAAGAGAGAAAGGGGGGAAAGAGGGAGGGAAAGAAAATCGGGGGAAAGGGGGGGAAGGAAAGAGAGAAATGATATTACAAAAGTTTTTCTTTTTTATTGTTACTAAACTTAATATTTCAAAAGCAGAAAAATAGTGAAGGGGCATAAAAGTGCATTTATTATGTTTTTCTTAGAACAATTAGCTGAACTCTGCCTTGTTTATCATTATTTTAGGTAGTAAAACCTCAGTATTCAGGTTAAATTGCTGTGTTGGCATTTTGCGATAAATAAGTGGGTTTTGGGTTACAGTTTGGGCACTCGGTCTCTAAAAGGTTCAGCATCACTGCCATAGGCTGTTAGTTGACTTTGTAATCTAGTTTCATATTGGATGGAAAGTTAGAGGGTGGTGAAAATAAAGTTATAACTTATTTTCCATTTGAATTCATGGACCTCTAAGCCTAGTCTTTAGGGATTTGTAGTCCCAACCAATCTCAAAGTTCACTTCACATTAAGAATTATTACCATATTTTTCGGAGTATAAGACGCATCGGACTCTAAGACGCACCTACCTTTTTTGGTGAGAAAAAGAAGAAAAAGAAATCTCCCTCTGCCTCTGAGCAATTTTGCCTCGTTGCAGCAGACAGCAAACAGAAACTTTACTTTCATTTTTGTTTTCAGCATAGCTTGATTAGCGCAAGGGGAAAAAAAAACTGTTCCAGCAATTTACCTCCTTGCAGCAAATAGCAGAGCCCTGCGCTAAACAGCTGAGAGCAAAACAGCTGAGAGTCGGGAGGCCGATCCAATCAACTTGTGCTAATTAGCCTGTGCTGAAGCTGAAAGGAACTGTTTCTTCTTGCTGCTTGCTGCAAGGAGGTAAATTGCTGGGAGGCAAAGGCCAAAGGGTGGGGGCCAGTGGGTGGGCGGGGATACATTCGGTGTATAAGACGCACCTAAATTTTCACCCCCTTTTAGGGGGGAAAAAGGTGCATCTTATACTCCGAAAAATACGGTACATCTATTTGATCCCGATTCCCCAAACTTTACTTTTCCTTCATTCTCCTCTTCCAAAGGCTAATGTAGGCCCTTATATTTTGCTACTGCATTTTTGTATCTGTGCTGATTCTCTGTCATCCAGGTCATGATTGTTTCAAAGGTGCTTTTTCAAAAGGCAACTGGACTGTTTTTTTCCTTGAGGAAGCCATTTTGCTTCTCATCCAAGAAGCTTCTTCAGTTCTGACAGAACTGGAGAACTGAACAAGCTTCTTGAGTGAGAAGCGAAACTTTTTCCTCAAGGAAAAAAACAAATTGCCTTTTGAAAAAGCACCTTCAAAATAGTGCATTTTCCTACCCCTTGCTTTCTCTAAAGCTTACAATAAAGATACCTTTATTAAAAGGAAGATCCAGCCGAAGAGATCTTTGAGAAAACCAAAGGCCATTTGTAGGAGTAAAAACAGATTTGGCAGAGAATTGAGTTAGAAATTTACAAGACAACGGCATTGAAAAAATGACTATTAACCTTTTTTTTTGACGCTTATGACCATTGCAGCATCTTCCTGGTCATGTGATCAAAATCCGAGCACTTAGCAACTGGCATTTACTTATGAAGGTTGCACTGTTCCAGGGTCACATGACTACCAGACTTCCCGGATGACTTCTGATAAGCAAAGCCAATGGGAGAAGCAGGATTCGCTTAATGGCCACATGATTCATTAACAACTGCAGTGATTCACTCAAGTTTGGCAAAAAGATCGTAAAATAGGCAAAACTCATTTATCAACTGCCTTGTTTAACAATGAAAAATTTGGGCTCAATTGTCATAAGTCGAGGACTACCTGTATTGTTTGCTACAAATTCATTGGAAGGAAGAAGCTAGTAAGATGTAAAAGGGAATGATGAACAGAAACTGATCTTTGGTTCCTTGAGCTGTGCTATGGAAGAAATTTGGAGGATATTCTTCCTAAGGTTGGGTTTAGAAGAGCAAAAAGTATTACGCCTTGGTCCAACACCATCATATTCTTTCCTCATTCAGTTCCAAGGCAGAGGCTGGAAGGAAGATGATTTCCAAAGAACCAAGAACAACACATGGACTTCTGATAGTTCTTAATTGTTGCTTGCCTATAGACAGAATCTTGCCAGACTAAAGCAATAATCTGCCATCACTATAAATATATTCTGGGAATTGCTAGGGAGGTCCTCTGTCCAAAGCCTGGTGTTCAATCCCGATGGGGCTCAAGGTTGAATCATCCTTCCATCCTTACAAGGTCGGTAAAATAAGAATCCAGATTGTTGGGTGCAATATGCAAATAATGCTTCTACATTGTAAACCACTCAGAGAGTTGTAAAGTGCCATGGAGTGGCATATAAGTCTAAATGCTATACTCTCTTCCTGCTAACCAGATATTTCAAGCTCTCCTATCTCTTTGCTCTCTGGGAAAGAGACCGTCTATCAGACTTCGATGCTATCTCAAAATAAATGAATTTCCAAACTGTCAATCTTTAAGGAAATTTTTTCTTTAATTGAGCACAGCCACCGGATCATGACTCGATGTGGACAAGACTGACTTTTTGCCCCCCAATCCCTCCCTTTCCGATCCCCAAATATCTGCTTCTCATTGGCTATCTTCCAAGTCATTCTTCAGACTCCTTGTCTCGTCATTTCCCAGGAATGTCTCCCCCCCGTCATTTCCACCACAACCGGACATCAAAGGGATTTAGCAGGCAGAAGTTCAGAGCTTATCTCTCTCTCTCTCTCTCTCTCTGCTCTCTATGCCAGCGAAACGCTGACACCGTCCCTCCTGAGACTACAAATTACATTCCATCATAGCTGGTCCTTCTTAACGGTCTAAAGCACTGGACCAGAGGTGGTTTCTACTTACCTTTACTACCGGTTCGCAAGGGGGCTGCACATGTGGGCTTGCTTCGCTCGCGCACATGCGTGCTCTTCTGTGCATGCGCAGAAGCATTTTGATGATGTCAGGGTCAGTGGGCGGAGCCTCTCGCTGGTTTTACTACCAGTTCTAGAGAACCAGTGCAAACCGGGGGCAACCCACCACTGCACTGGACCCAGGGGTGAAATCCAGCAGATTCTAACAGGTTCTGGAGAACTGGTAGCGGAAATTTTGAGTAGTTTGGAGAACCAGCAAATACCACCTCTGGCTGGCCCTAGAGTGGGGTGGGAATGGAGATTTTGCAATATCCTTCCCCCAGGAGTGGGGAAGGAATGGGGATTTTGTAGTATCTTTCCCCCTGGAGTGGGGTGGGAATGGAGATTTTGCAGTATCCTTCCCTTGCCACGCCCACCAACCCACACCATCTTAAACCCTACTCAGCTTTAACTGGGATGTCTATGTCCAAGTGAAGCCATTCTTTTAAAGCTCCATTAAACTCCTGATGTCTGTGAATGAACCTCTGGTTTTCAGGGCCATAGTATGTCATATCTCCCTCATATCGAACTCAGAGACACAATTATCATGTTGTGCAAGGTGCTGATTGAATGGGCTGATAGAACAGACCTTTGTTTCTTCAAGGTAAAGATGACACTTTCATTCATGGAATGATGCTGTGGTTCCTTTCTCCTTCACTTCAGTGGCCTATCCGGCATGGCATGGTGGAAGACTGGGATCTGATGGAAAGGTTCATGGAACACATTATTTTTAAGTATCTTCGAGCTGAACCAGAAGATCACTATTTTTTAATGGTAAGACCAACAGACAAATGGTACCACATTTAAGTATTATTGGTAACACATTTTGACATTAGTAATATAAGTACACACACACACAAACACACACACACACTTAAAAGAAAAAAAATGACTTGGGAAAGTCCACATCACAAATGGAACTTGCAGCAGGATTTATTTGACAAATAGATACACAATCCTGATTTTATCCAAAGGAGGCACAGTGTCCCTTTCAAAAAATATTATCTTAAGAATCTCTATCCAAAGTGAGAATAAATAGGGCAGAATATTATGTTAAGCAGTAAAGAAAACAAGGCGACAGTAAACATTCAACACCAGTTTAATTGTTGCCAATATATTGAAAATAATTTAGCCATCAGTTCACTAGCTGTATTCTTGATTTGATAGCCCCTGTCAAAACTTTAGCTGTCAGAAGAGAGAATTACAATAAACACAAATGCTGTCTATCAATCTAGATAAAATATATGATTGGCATCTTTTTTATTTAACTCTGTCTTTTGAAAATAGACTGAACCGCCACTGAACACACCTGAAAACCGAGAATATCTTGCAGAGATTATGTTTGAATCATTTAACATACCTGGACTTTATATTGCTGTGCAGGTAAAATCAAATCAGTTCTTCCTGGAATGCTGCTTTTGGCACTGGAAACAGAGGCTTCTCTGTGGATTTAGTTCTTTCTCCCCCCCAGAGTATATTCTGGAAGAGAAGTTGATATGGTTAAGTAGGGTGTCCAAAAGATGAAGATGGCAGTTACAACACCTGTAAAAAAGAACAGAGTTTAGATAATGCAGCTGCAGGTCCCTTCTTGACTTTTTTTAACCTTTCCAGCAAATGTCTGTGTGATTGATGTAATGAAAGTATTTTGATTTGGCTAATATAGAAATATTGAGAGTTACTGCTGAAGATCTAATCGTATATAAATAGAAAAAGGAAATGGTGTCATTCTTAAAAAGTCAATTTGTTTTTAAGAAGGAAGGAAGGAAAAGAAGGAAGGAAGGAAGGAAGGAAAGGAAAAGAAAGGAAGGCTTTTGCTGTGATCTCACTATTTCATCTCTGTAGCAAAGATTATTTTATTCAACTATTTTCCAAATTTCTCCGTTTCGCATCATTGCATAATTTTAGCCTTCAAGAGAGCCTTGTTCCTTTCCTGTCCAGACACTGCTCCAGGAACCTAACATAATCTCATGATTATATTGGTTTGTAGACTAACTAGCATGGGGACCAGAGAGAACAACTGTAGAAGTAGAAAGCATTATTCTAGGGCAGTGTTTCTCAACCTTAGCAAGGCCTATGGATTTCAACACCCAGAATTCTGGGAATTGAAGTCCACAGCTCTTAAAGTTGGTCCAGGAAATGTTAGTTTAGGAAGACCATTCTGCCCTATGGTTACACAAGATATAGAACGTGCTTTTATTTTTAATGTCATTTTATTAAAATGTCTTTTCTTTGTTTTTTTTTTAAAGAGGAAAAATGATATTTAGTCTTATTTTTTATTTATTTTATGTATAGAGTCTCACTTGGGCTAGGAATTTACCAACTATTTGGGAAATTAGTGAGAAATTCTATATTACTGTTTTATTTTTCAAATTAACTTTCACAGGCTGTGCTAGCCTTAGCTGCATCCTGGACTTCACGACAAGTTGGGAACCGTACCTTAACTGGCACAGTGGTTGACAGTGGGGATGGAGTGACTCATGTCATTCCAGTGGTAAGTACGATATACAGGTAACCCTTGACTTATGATCATTCATACAATGATGGCTCAAAATTACAAATGGCCTTGATTGATTGTACTGTTCTCTCATTTACAACTGTGCGACACTTTGACAGTCATGATTGCTTATGGGATCCCAATTTGGGTACTTGGCAACCAGCTCATAATGTCCCATTTTTGACTGTCTGCGCATGCACAGAAGGTCCTGCGCATGTGTAGAGGTGTTGCGCGCGAGCACTCACATTTGCGAACCGGTAGCGAAGGTAAGACAATACTGGTCCCACCAGATGTACCTCCTTGATAGATGGGATCTTGATATAGATGCCCTGCTTTTTTCTCTGATGGGCCAGGTGGATGTAATCGATCTGTGTGGCAAAGACTTAATCTTGGGTGCCTACCCCCCCCCCCCCCCCGCCCCAGCTCCAATATGGTGGATTGTGGACCAAGTTGGAAATAGAGAATGTAATGAGCAGTATTTCAAGGTCTTAGCCCAAGGGGGAGAGGATTCTGTATGCCATCATCCATATTCCACAAAAATAACCAGAGATTATTTTAACTGCAATATTTTTCACTTGCTTTTCGGATTGCAGAATTTGATGGTGTAGTATGTCTTTGGCATTGCTGTTTGAAAGAAAGAGGGCAAAAGTCCCCACATGGATTTCAAAATCAAAGGATGTTCATAGAGTAGGATCAAAAATGTCAAGATTGCAGCTGCAACAGTACACTGGACTGTTGTTATAGGCTTCACACACTGAGGTTGTTCCTGTCACAATTTGTTGGACACATAAAAAATTGATACGTTTGATGTTATAATGAACCTCTCGAGGGGGTTCTATTATAATCCGGTTCAAAAGTTTCAATGGCCACTCCTCCTGTCACATGACTGTGCCTTGGGTGCTGAGCATAACAGCCATATTCATGGCTGTTTGCAGTGTCCCTTGCTCATGTGACCCTCTTTTATGATAGTTTTGCCAAAAATTGGAAGTTAACTTCTGTTTTTCAGCAAAGCCATTCCATAGCCAACATTGAGTTCACTTAATGGTCATACTATTCATTTAATGGCTGCCATGTTTACTTAACAACTGTTGCAAAAAAAGGTTGTAAAATTGGGTTGGTCATACGACCAACCTGATTTACACTGCCACAACATATGACCTTAATGGGTAGGTTCTCTTATGGTCATATATTGAGGACTAAGTAGGTCTTTTTAGACCCAGCGTAGGTTGATTATGTCATAAGTTCAGTTATTGTGTTTCCACGGCTAGCTCATTTTGTAGGGGAGAGGATATGCTTTGAAAAGCTAAAAGCTGAGAGTCAAGTTATAGTCCTTGACTTATAACCATTCATTTAGTGACCATTTGAAGCTACAAGAGTTTTGAAAAAAGTGACTTACAACCAGTGTTCGTCCTTACAACGGTTATAGCATCCCCTTGGTCAACTGATCAAAATTTGGGAGCTTGGTAATGGGCCTGTATTTTCTATGGTTGCCATGTCCTGAGGTCACATGATCACCATTGGCAACTTTCCCAGCTAGCTTCCAACAAGCAAAATAAAAATAAATAAATAAATAACTTTATTGTCATTGTATACACAGTATACCCATACAACGAAATTCAGTTAACACCCAAAGACCCAAAGTCTTTGCCCCAAAGTGAATGGGACAAGCTAGATTCACTTAACAGCTGCATGATTGACTTAACAACCATGGCAAAAATGCCATAAAATGAGGTACAATTCACTTAACAATAACCAGGAAATTGTTAATCAATGCTTGCTTAGCAGTAGAAATTCTCGTCCCAATTGTGGTTATAAGTTCAATAACTGATTGAAAAGCAGAATGCACTCAGCCCCAAAATCTGAACTGGTTACTTTTGGAGGTCTAAAGCTAAGTAACTTTCCCCCCCTTCGGAAGGCAGAAGGTTACGTGATTGGTAGCTGCATCAAGCACATCCCCATTGCAGGAAGAGATATCACATATTTTATTCAGCAACTCCTAAGGGAAAGAGAGATGGGAATTCCTCCGGAGCAATCTCTGGAAACAGCAAAAGCTATAAAGGTAAATACTTTCTATTTCACTAAATTCTCTAGAAATATTGAACAGATTGTGGGGGAATCGTGTAAAATGTGCTCCCCGTGGTTTCTGGATATCCCATTCATTTTAAGATGACGGTACAAGAGAGTTGTAAAATGTTCTATCACAGAATACCTTAATCCCAGAATAGGTTGCTTCAGCCTCAAAACGGATTGTTTTTTACAGGAAGTGCTCCAATAATTAGTTACAACCAGTGGTGGGTTCCAACCGGTGTTAGCACCGGTTCTCTTCGCGCATGTGCTTTGTGCATGATCACCGCAAACTTGCGTTCTGCGCAAGCGCATTAGATTTCTCCCCAGCTGAGATGCAGCAATCCACTCCGCCGCACCTATAAGCTGGGCTAAAAACCGACAAATAAAGGTAGGTATAATGCAGGGGCGGGCGGGAGGACCCAGCTCACAGTCAAAGAGAACTGGTTTGCTGATGTCACATCATCATCTCTACCGGCTCGCCCGAACCGGGCTGAACTGGGAGCAACTCACTACTGGTTACAACACTTCCAAAATCCTTGAAGTAGCCTGTTTAGGAACTGGGATCTTTTGTGAAGGCCACCTTTGGGGACAAGGAAATGCTTAGTACACGGGTGTCAAACTCCAGAGGTGGTATTCAGCCGGTTCGTACTGGTTCAGGCGAACCGGTAGCGGAAATTTTGAGTAGTTCGGAGAACCGGCAAATGTCATCTCTGACTGGCCCTGCACTCCTGCCCCTGCTGTTCCCTATCCTATATTCCCTTGTTTTTTAGCTCAGTTGATTCGTGCGGCAGAGCGGATTGCCGCGCCTCAGCTGAACTAAACAACAGCTCAGCTCACCAGCGCTGACACCGAGGGCGGTCTCCCACAAAGCGGTCTTTCATAGAACTGGTAGGAAAAGATTTGTAATCCCACCACTGTCAAACTCGATTGTATCACGTGACATCACGTGATGTATCGCAACGTTTTTTGCCTTTGGAGCGCGTGGGTGGGCATGGCCTGTGTATGATGAATCCGGCCTGCGAGCTGCCAGTTTGACATTCCTGGCTTAGTGTTTCTAGTAGTAGTTAAGTCTAGAAACCTGGAGACTCTGAGTCCTACTCCTGGCCTAGGCATGAAAGCTGGTTGGGTATCTTTTTGCCAATCACCATAAGACTGTGAGTTCTCGTCCTGCCTTAGCCATGAAAAGCTGACTGAGTGATTTTGGGCCAGCCAGTCTCTCTCAGCCCAACCCACCTCACAGGGTTGTTGTGGGGAATATAAGAGGAGGGAGGAATATTAGGTATCTTTGCCACCTTGAATTATTTATAAAAATGGTAAAGGTGGGATATAAATAATAATAATAAAAAAATCTTTTTAAATGGTTGAACTTCAACTCCCAGCACATTGGGAAATGAACGTAAATGTCAGCCTCACTAGATGGACTTGACTGGGAAATCAACTCCACGGGGAATAAAATTATTTTTATTGAGATTAGATATAATATCAGAATCTTGCAAGTCTGATTGAGCTGTAAGCCCTCCCTATAATTCAATGAATGAGGGAGGAAGGAATTTGCCTGATCCGTTTCCGAATGTTATGTGGGTGTTCTGGACTTAAAAAGTGCTTTATTTCTTCTTTTGCCTATTCAGCAGATCCTGCATGACACAATAGCCATGTGATTTTAGGAAAAGAACAACAGTAATTTGAAGGGGCTGTTTTGAAATGCAAAATATTGCCCAACCCTATTAAGTCAACATTGCTCACCAGCTTCTTTCTTTCTTTCTTTCTTTCTTTCTTTCTTTCTTTCTTTCTTTCTTCTCATGGCTTTCAGATCCTGATAATAAACATTTTTCCCTCAACATTGTACAAAGTGAGATCTCCAAATGAGCCCCTGTAAGCAGCTGTAATGCAGAATCACTTCTAAAAGAAGTTACATTTTTAATCTCACTTTCTTTCATCCAATAAAACAAAAAACATTTTCCTTCTTTATTGTATTATTTGCAGGAAAAATATTGTTATATTTGTCCTGACATAGTAAAAGAATTTGCAAAGTATGATGTTGATCCCCACAAATGGATTAAGCAATACACAGGAATCAATGCCATCAATAGAAACACATTTACGATAGACGTTGGTTATGAAAGGTTCCTTGGGCCAGAGGTCTTCTTTCACCCAGAGGTAAGAGTCAAGATTGGTGTACCACAGTAGTAATAGTCGTAGTCGTAGTAGTTGCAAGGGTGGTAAGTAAGAAAGCAGGAAGACAGGCAGGAGGCAGGCAGGCAGGAAAAACAGCAATAGTACTCATGGGGGTAAGGCACCATCTTGTGGCCAGATTATTTTCTAATAGTGTTTAGAAAATGCATACCTTCCTTTTGATATAGGTTAGTCATTCTTATCTTTAATAACTTTAAGTTGTGTGGACTTCAACTCCCAGAATTGAAAGGAGGCTGGCTGGGGAATTCTGGGTGTTGAAGTCCACCCATTCTAAAGTTCCCAAAACTGAAAAATACGGCTTTAGGTACTGTGGAACTGCATCAAATTAATTCTTTTGTTTTTGACATGATGTCCGTTGTTGACAGAAGGGTGTTCATATCTTTTGGCCACCTCTTCCTGGAAAAATAAGTAAATTTTAATCTGTTTTTAAATTATTGGGGTGTTTTAATCTGTCTGGGCCAAAATGATTTAATTTGATTTTATCTGGTTTTTAAATTTTTTGTATTTATGTATTTTATTGTTGGCTGTTCACCGCCCTGAGTCCTTTGGGAGTAGGGCGGTATACAAATCAAATAAACCATAAACCAAACCATAAACCAAAAACAGAGTTAATGGCTACGGTTAAGCTCCACGAGTAGTATGACCAAACCAGGCCTCTTATGCTGGGAAAAGTGGAAAACTAGCTGGGATTGAAGGGTCAAGGGAAGCAGAAGCGCAAGGCATATAAGTCAGCTGCTGTGGGGGAAGAAGGGGGTATCTGCCCAGCAACCTTGCAAGGGAAGAATAGTGTCGGGGGCCGATTTTGCATTCACAAAATGCTGGCCTTGCTTTACCAGTAAACAGCTGTTATTAACAATCCTACTTCATTAAGAAATGAAAAATCCAGGACAAGCCCTGAATAGAATAGAATAGAATAGAATAGAATAGAATAGAATAGAATAGAATAGAATAGAATAGAATAGAATAGAATAGAATAGAATAACAGAGTTGGAAGGGACCTTAGAGGTGTTCTAGTCCAACCCCCTGCTTAGGCAGGAAACCCTATACCACTTCAGACAAATGGTTATCTAATCTCTTCTTAAAAACTTCCAGTGTTGGAGCATTTAGAACTTCTAGAGGCAAGTTGTTCCACTGATTAATTGTTTTAACTGTCAGATATTTTCTCCTTAGTTCTAAGTTGCTTCTCTCTTTGTTTAATTTCCACTCATTGCTTCTTGTTCTACCCTCAGGTGCTTTGGAGAATAGATGGACCCCCTCTTCTTTGTGGCAGCCCCTGAGATATCAGAACACTGCTATCATGTCACCCCTAGTCCATCTTTTCATAAAACGAGACATACCCAGTTCCTGCAACCGTTCTCCATCTGTTTTAGCCTCCAGTTCCCTAATCATCTCTGTTGCTTTTCTCTGCACTCTTTCTAGAGTCTCAACATCTTTTTTACATCATGGTAACCAAAACTGAATGCAGTATTCCAAGTGTGGCCTTACCAAGGCATTATAAAGTGGTATTGACACTTTACATGATCTTGATTCTGTCCCTCTGTTTATGCAGCCTAGAACTGTGTTGGCTTTTTTGGCAGCTGCTGCACACGGCTGGCTCATATCTAAATGGTTGTCCACTAGGACGCCAAGATCCCTCTCACAGTCACCACTATTGAGCAAGGTACCACATATACTATGGTATGTTGCATTTTGTTTTTCTTGCCTAAATGTAGAACCTTAGTATTTTCACCATTGAATTTCATTTTGTTGGATAGCACCCAATGTTCAAGTCTGTATCTTAAGCCTTTCTTCTGGAGTGTTGGCATTCCTGCTAGCTTAGTGCCGTCTGCAAATTTGATGAGTTCCCCATCTATCCCCTCATTCAAATCATTGATGAATACGTTGTTAGATTGATAGATCAAGTAGATAGAATGCTAGGATAACAAACATAAATTGAGATGATCCAAGAAAAACAGAATGATTGGTTACCTTGTTGGTGAGAAACTCTTTTTAAGAAGAGATTGGACAACCATTCTATCTAAAATGGTATAGGATTTCTTGCTTTAGCAGGAGGTTGGACTAGATTATTTTGTTAAATTTAAAATGTAAAAGCTGTTATTGACAAACTCAGCTGGCTTTGTTTTTCAGGAGTTCCGATGGTGTAAGTCTTTATAAATCAGATTAGAAAGTGGATGAATTTGTCAATTTTCTAACCCAGCAGAGAAAGGGAGAAATAAATTATGCTTCCCTGCCCTGCGATGTGGAATCCAGAGAAGGTTTCCCCCCTACACCTTTTGACAGTTCCTTGTTGTTATTGTTGGTTGTATGTCACCTCCTTCTCTTGCTCACGTACAACTGATCTTTTCATATCTCAAGGAAGGATTTAAGTACAGACTTATGATCAAAATTGGGACTGGAATATCTGCCACTATGTGATGTGGTTATTAAATGAGTTGCACCTGATTTTACAAACTTTTTGCCATGGTTCTTAAAGGAATCACATAGTTATAAAGCGAATCCGCTTCCCCCATTGACATTGCTTGTCAGAAACTCCCTGGCAAGGTCACAAATGGCAATCATATGACACCAGGATGCTGCAGCCATTGTACATACATGGCTATTGCCAAGAGCCAGAATTTTGATCAGATGACTGTGAGGATACTGTGACGGTCGTAATTGCAAGGCCAAGTCATAAGTTACTTTTTTCAGCTGCGGCATAACTTCGAACAGTCATTAAACCAATGGCTGTAATTTGAGAATTACCTGTACACTTTTTACACCTGTTATAACTTCAGCTGTTATAAATTTAAACCAATTGTCATAATCTCAGGATCTCCTATATCTGCATTAATTGATTATCTGCCTCTCCTATTTATTTTTAGTTTGCCAATCCAGATTTTGTGGATTCTATTTCGAATGTGGTGGATGAAGTTATACAGAACTGTCCCATTGATGTTCGGCGTCCTTTGTATAAGGTACAGAAAGAAAAAGAATTATTAAATGACATTCAGGTGAAAATTGAAGTCTCACACCTTGTGTGTCTTCCTGCTGGTTTGATCAATAGCTTGTAGATAGAGGGATAAACAGAAATAGATTATAGAATAGAATAAAATTCTTTATTGGCCAAGTGTGATTGGACACACAAGGAATTTGTCTTGGTGCATATGCTCTCAGTGTACATAAAAGAAAAGATATATTCGTCAAGAATCATACACTTAATGATAGTCATAGGGTACAAATAAGCAACCAAATCATATTAGGAAACAGTCAATATAAATTGTAAGGATACTAGCAACAAGGTTACAGTCATACAGTCATAAGTGGGAGGAGATGGGTGATGGGAACGATGAGAAGATTAATAGTAGTGCAGACTTCGTGAATAGTTTGACAGTGTTGAGGGAATTATTTGTTTAGCAGAGTGATGGCATTGGGGAAAAAACTGTCCTTCTGTCTAGTTGTTCTGGTGTGCAGTGCTCTATAGCGTCGTTTTAAGGGTAGGAGTTGAAACAATTTATGTCCAGGATGCGAGGGGGTCTGTAAATATTTTCACAGCCCTCTTTTTGACTCATGCTGTATACAGGTCCTCAATGGAAGGCAGGTTGATCTTGAAAACATACTTTTGGTAAAACTGCTTTTATTTTCAATGTTATTGCAACACTGAACATTATTAGGTATACAGCTATGGATTCAGCTTTTTTCATGCCTTTACAGCTCATCAGTCCTTGGAAAAGTAGACAAAAATCACACATTTACTTTTTATTTGTTTATTATACTTATTAAATTTGGAGCCTACCCATCTCACTGGCAGGTTAATTTTACCTTAATGGTTCCTGTTCTGTCTCCAAGGGGCACTGATGACCCACAAAATATTGCAGGTGATAATTGATGTAGGCAAAAATGAAATGAAATGTCATTGAAGTACTTAAGTGGCTCTAGTTGCTGGAGATCGCCTATCATCACAGACTAATGGCAGCCTCCTAATTCTGAGAATCTTATGCGATTTACTGATTTCATGACATTTCAGCTATTAAAAAATTAACTTTTAATAATTAAATCCTAGAATAGAATAGAATAGAATAGAATAGAATAGAATAGAATAGAATAGAATAGAATAGAATAGAATAGAATAACTTTATTTGGTCTAGTTTGATTAGACACACAAGGAATTTGTCTTACAGATTTGTATTTAAAAAACCCTTTTAGAAATAAACATATTTAAAATGCCAATGTAATTTAGCAGGAAAAGATTCATTTAAATTCCCTTGGCTGCTAGCTCTGTGCATTCTTGGTTTGTTTATTTATTGGCTATCCTTGCACCCAGGGCCGGATTTAGATGAAAAGAGGCCCTAGGCTATTCCACTTATGAGGCCCTTTCACCTATAGTGAAAGTGTAATTTTAATTTTAATTTTGCTAACAATTTGAATGTAGGCCCCTCTTGATCTTGAGGCCCCTCTTGATCTTGAGGCCCTAGGCTGAAGCCTAGTTAGCCTATAGGAAAATCTGGCCCTGCTTGCACCCATAAGCTACTTGCTGTGATTAAACATTAGTTGGCATTTTCACACAAGTAAGGAGGTACATATTTCATTCCGGTTGTGCCTGGATGGATGCTGCCAATCAAAAAGTATGACAGCCTTAGAATTACAAAGAAGTGCATTGAAGGCCTTTCTAAAATATTTTTTTATGTTAAGTTAGGAATAATTTGCTCCATTGTTAGGATAATTTGCTCCATTTTACACTTACTTATATTGAAATGTGTTTATCTTTTGCTTGATCACTTATATCCCAACAGGTTAACATTCTCTTATTTTCATCTCTATCTTTTAAAGGCATACAATAACTGTATTTTTAAACTTTATTAGCTTCATTTTCCCCCTTTTAAATGGGCTGCTGAACCATTAGGATCAGCTGAGAACTTTTTAATTTGACATGTGATGTTAATTATCAAATCCATTTATGAAGAGATAGTAGTGCTATTTGTCTTCTCTGTGTTCCTTATCTTCATTCGTTTCTTTCTAATGGCTCAAGTATTCTATTTGCATCATCAGTGGTGTGTACAAAAGCTGTCCAGGACAGAGATAGTCTTGAAGAAGGCAATCTATGACTACTATGTAAATATCTACTTAGCCCAGGTAGACAGGCTGAGAGGGTGAGGAAAACACTCAAGATTGCCCTGTCTTGATTCTCTTTAGTATAAAGAGGAGAAAAAAATCCTAGGCAGGTTTAACAGATTAACAGAGTTGGAAGGGACCTTTTAGGTCATCTAGTCCAACCCTGCCCATCCAAGCAGGAGACCCTACACCATTTCTGACAAATGGCAGTCCAATCTCTTCTTGAAAGTCTCAAGTGATGAAGCTCCCACAAGGCTTTAAAGTTCTAGCATTATATCCTGTGTCAACAGAGTTCTGATATGTTTTTTTTTTGTGATGTCTCTTTCCTGACCTGGGAAGAGAAAACCTTTTCTAATGGAATGCATGGGTAATCTTGGGGAAAAGGGGGAAGAGATGCTGCCCAAGAAACAAAGCTATAATTTTCAAAGGCCTTTATGGCATAGGTTCAGAGTATCTGAGGAATTTACCTCAGTAGTATTAATCGCACCACTCATTCCAATGGAAAGGGTCTATTGTGGATCCCATTGGCCACAGGATTTCGGCTGGCGAGGTGCAAGAGAAGAGCCTTTTCTGTTTTGGCCCCCAACTAAGCGTGACATAATAAGGTTTAAAAAATGATATAGATACAATATATAAATTCCAGATAATAGAGTAAGAAAAAAGATATAATGAAAGCCCTTAAAAGAAGGCTACAGCTTAGTTCTAAGCATTCAGTTTATAATTTTTTAAAAAAATATTGTTGTTTATAATAAAACCCAAACTCTGTCTGCCTATCTTAATTTAAATTTAATTTCCAAAATGGAAAACCCCTAAATAGTTATTCCTTATCTTGGAGCCCCCTCGTGTGGCTATAAAAAAAAAAACCTCATAAAGTTCATAAAAAGAATAAAGTTTAAAAGTTTGACCAGATAATCCAGATGAAACAAAACTGTTTATATTAGGAATATAACCTTGTTGCAGGAAAATAGATAAAAATGAGATAAATAAAATCACAATAAAAATAAATTGTTCTCAGATTAGTAAAATCATTATTTGTGAAATTGTAAAATTTCATTAGGTAGCTAATGAAAAACAACCAAAGTAGTATTGAGTGAAATAATCTTTAACTAAAGAGAGTTCAGCTTTGCTGATTCTCATTCATCACTATCTGCTGAAAATCCATAGATGGCATTTGGAGCAGGCTATAAATCACTCTGAAGATTTTATACTGTTACCAATAGAAGAAAATATTTGTAGTTCAGGTTTGAACTTTGGCGTTCTTGGTGCTCTCTGAATTTGGTTGTTTTCTTGCAGATGTTTCATTATAAGTCTAAGTCTATTATTACTCAATTTACTAACCTCATCAGTGCTAGTGAGTGTGGGATTTGCTCCTGTACTTGCATTGATTATGTTACCTAGTTGGGCAATGAAATGTCTGCAAAAAAACAAACAAACAAACAAACAAAAAAAAAAAAAACAACCAAGCTCAGAGGGCATCAAGGACCTTGTTTATAGTGATCTGGGGTCATCCTCTTTGGATAGTCCCCAGTTTTTCTATTGGGTATCTTGACATTTAATTATCATCAAAAATGAAAAGGGGAAACTGGAAACAATTTGTCTACTGAAGAAGACCCCATCTTGATTTCATGAATGAAGCAATACTGTTTCACAGTATAAGTTGTCTTAAAACACCTTTATAAGGTATGTTTATATGTATGTGTTTTATTGTTTGGCTGTGCACCGCCCTGAGTCCTTCGGGAGTAGGGCGGTATAGAAATCAAATCAAATCAAATCAAATAAATAAATAAATAAGAGGAATTCTAAATGAAAGTTCTTTTTTTAAAAAATTTGATTTATATGCCGCCCTTCTCCGGAGACTCAGGGCGGCTTACAGTGCGTTAAGGAATAGCCTTCATACTTTTGTATATTTATACAAAGTCAGCTTATTGCCCCCACAAACTGAGTCCTCAATTTACCTACCTTAGAAAGAATGGAAGGCTGAGTCGACCTTGAGCCTGGCAAGATTCGAACTTACTTTAATTGCAGACAGCTGGTGTTAAATTACAGTGCTTAGTCTGCAGAGCTATCCAGGCTTCTTTTTGTAAACCTTAAATTGGTACTGCTTTCTCATCATAACATATGTGTGGATTAATTAGTTGTGTTCTACATTCACAATACAAGCATTTCTAGGTACTATTTATACCTACTTTATTAGCCTTCTGTTATTAACTGCTGAGCAAACTTTTCTCCATGAATAATGGATGGATCAACCAAAAGTTTCACTTTGTCTTCTGACCTTCAGTTTTGTAGTACATTATTATTGAATTCATTTTTACCCTGGGTGCTATATTTCAATGTAGAAGTTATGGAGACCATCTTCTGTTTCAAAATTGATCAGTTTCCCATAATCCACCATCAACAGGATTTATAGGTGCTGTAGTAAATTCTCTGAGTCTCTTCTTCAACGTTTAGGTAGATCTTACTAACCGTTCCAGATTTATTTACTCTTAGGTAGCAGACATTTTCTGCATTCCTTGACTTATGACCACAATTGGAACCAGAATTACTGCTGTTAAGTTGAGCCATGCCCAATTTTATGATCTTTTTGTCATGGTTGCTAAGTGAACCAACCCAGGGTTAAATGAATCACCCAGTTGTTAAATGAATATGACTTCACCCATTGACTTTGCTTGTCGGAAGCCGACTGGGAAAATCACAAATAGTGGTCACGTAACCCTTGGATGCTGCAACCTTCATACATACAATACATGCCAATTGACAAGCACCCGAATTTGTTCATGTGACTGTGGGGATGTTGCGACAGTCGTAAATGTTTTTTTTTCCAAAATTTATTTTCATTTTTAAAAATACAATACTTTACATATATACATACAAGGTTATTGCAACTAATGTACACAAATCTGTGCCTCTACCACTAATACAATCCATTTCATTTCCCTCTCTTTTCTTTCACCCAATTATACCATAAATTCCAACATTTGTAATAATCAGAATCTTTTTGGTTCCTAAGTAATTTCGTTAACCGGTCTGCCTCTGCGCATTCTGTAATTTTCCAAATCAATTTATTTTCTGTGGGTATTAATTCATTTTTCCATTCTCGCACACATAGTATCCTAGCTGCAGTAGTGATGTGGAGGATCAAGTACTATTTTTCCTTAGTTATTTTGTCTGGTTTCATTCCTAATTAAAAAATCTCTGGTTTCAGCTCTATATTATATCCTGTAATTTCCACTATCCAGTTCCGAACCTTAGACCAATATTTGCCTGCTTTGGGGCACGTCCACCATTGGTGGTAGGACGTCCCACAACCATTCCCACACTTCCAGCATGCCAGAGAAACTCCCAGGAACATTCTTGCAGGGGGGATATGCCAACGATAGACAATTTTTTAAATATTTTCCTTGTAGGAGGTTGACAAAGTAAGTTTCATAATCCTATTCCATATGTCATCCCATTTATCCAGATTTGGAGAAAATCCGAGGTTCTTCCCCCAGGCAATCATAGTGTCCTTAATCACCTCCTCATCAATCCATCGTGATACCAAAAACTGGTAGCACCTTGAAAGTAATTTCTTTTCAATTCCCAATAAGAATTTATCTAACTCCTGTAGCGACCTATATATTCCCTCCTTTCTTTGGTCCCTTCTGACTCTTGATTGTATTTGGGCATACGCCCACCAGTCTACCTTTTTGCCCTGTTTTGTAAGCTCCTCTCGGGTCTTCAATTCCCCTTGAGGGTCAAGCAAATCCTGATAAGTCAATGGTATTTCCTTATTATATAGTGTCGCATGTGTTACTGCCTCTAATGGGGCAAACCAAATCGGAATCATTGAATAATGCCTGTTCCTAACCCTTTCCCAAAATTCTAATAATATTCTCCGGAGGTAGTGTCTCTTAAACTGTCCACATTTCTTGCCCCTCTCCCTCCATAGAAAATGGTGCCAACCTTGACACAAATCATAACCCTCCAATGTAAGAGTCCTCTTCCTATTTAAAAGCATCCAGTCTCTGATCCAAGTTAAATTAGCTGCTTGGTAGTAAAGCTCCCATTTCGGTAGACCAAATCCCCCTCTACATGGAGCCTCTTGGAGCATTTTAAGTTTTATCTGGGGCTTCTTCTTCTGTCACACAAATTTCCTCACATAACTATCTAGCAGTTTAAAAAAACCACTACCCGGTCTCGCGGGGGCAGTCTGAAATAAATAGTTCCATTTCGGAAGTACGTGGGTTTTAATCGTAGCTATCCTACTAAGTAAGGAGAGTTGCAGGTACTCCCAGTTTTCTAAGTCTGTCTTTGTTTGGGCTAACAACTTTGTGTAATTATCTGCCATAATAGACATATTTTGAGAAGACATCCAAATACCCAAGTATTTTATTCTTTTAGTCACTTGAAGGCCCAATTCTCTCTCCAATTCATTCCAACGATTTCGTGTCATATTCTTTATTATAATCTTCGTCTTGTCTTTGTTGATTCGGAGACCTGCAACTCTACCATACTTCTCTATCTCCTGAAGCAAGTTTTTACCTGATTCTAATGGATCCTCTACGATAAAAACTAAGTCATCTGCGAATGCCTGAGTTTTATATTCTTCAGATCTCACCGTCAGCCCCTTTATTCCCTGATTCTTCCTAATTTCCCGTAGCAGAGGTTCTAGTGTAAAAATAAATATAAGCGGGGACAGTGGGCATCCTTGTCTTGTGCCTTTTCCAATTTCAATCCTACCCGTTTCTTCCCCATTAATTAAAGCTCTAGCTATTTGAGTTGAGTAGATCGATCTTATCGCCCGTATATAATTATCTCCAAATTCCATCTTATCTAACAAGGCAAACATAAATTTCCACCTAACCCTATCGAAGACCTTCTGAGCATCTACAAAAATGAATGCTACTTCCTTATCTGAAAGCGACAGTCGTAAATGTGAGGACCGGTTGTAAGTAATGTGTTTTCAGTCATGGTCTTAGGTTCATGACCAGAGGACTGCTGTATTGCTGTGCTGAGATGAAGGAATTAATAAAGGCTAATTCTCATTAGCGTTGCTAGCCAATTGAAAGAAGTAAACCAACCATTTTCTCAAAATCCATATCGAATTATCAAAATCCATAATGAATTAGCACTCATTATTGTAATCTGCCATGTGAGGGAAAAGGATTGGGCCTTAAATCTATTAAATATAATAAATAGAATATAACTGTGTACCCCTCTATAGAGTAAAGTAAATTATCAGGTGAGGTAAGATGACTATGACCTTCTCAATTAGGAAAATTTGGAATTCTTTGTTCTGAAATATCTCATTAATTTTCATTTAAGTTCTTACAGTGTGTTGGTTTAGATCAGGGGTGTCAAACTGGCAGCCCGCGGGTCAGATGCGTCGCGTGTAGGCCACACCCACCCCAGCTCCACAAAGCGGAAAAATGTCACGTGATACATCATGTGACGGCAATGTGACTCTGCGAGTTTGACACCCGTGGTTTAGACCATTGTTTCTAAACTTGACAAGTTTAAGACATGTGGGCTTCAACTCCCACAAGCTGGCTGGGGAATTCTGGGAGTTGAAGTCCACCCATCTTAAAGAAGCCAAGGTTGAGAAACACTGGTCCATTCATAAATTAATTTGTTCCTTCTCCAATCTAGCTGCTGCTTTCTTTCAGTTTTGCTTCAATCCATTTTGTAAAGGAGATGCTTATTGTTAAACTACTAAGAGAGTTACCTCATACATAATTGAAAAAATATGAGCAAAATAATTTTGAGAGTCTTTGGGAATGGGCAGCTGTTGATTAGCTACAGTAAGAAGGCTGTACTTGCTGAGATTAACAGGAGTTAACTTCCTCTCCTAATGGTTGGCATTTATATGTTTTCATTGCCTTTGCTTCTAGTCTTAGAATATAATTTGATAAAAATGTTTTAAATCAGGCCTGTGCAACCCATGCCCCACAGACAGCTAGTAATATAGCCCAAGATATGTATACCAAAGAGGAATGGTCTTTGGCTGCATATAAAATATATAATACAGTTACTGTATATAAATCATGTAATTTAATATTATTATGCAATTTATGTACAGTAAACTATATTATATATTTTATATGTGGCCCAAGACAATTCCTCTTCACTCAATGAGGCCTGGGCAAGCCAAAAGACTGGATGCTCAATGTAAAAATAGATGTATCCATGGGTCGTGTGTGTCAAAAAGAAATGGCACCTTTGTAATAGAAACCAACAGTGAAATGCTACCGGTTCACACCGGTTTGGGCGAACCGGTAGTAAAAAAAACCCTACCGGTTCGTTTGAACTGGTATTTCCAACAATCAGCTGTGCTGCACGATTTAAACGTATGCCAAACACATGCTGCGCGTGGAAGAAGGAAATCCTGCTTTCTAGTGAATCTAAATCGCGCAGCACAGCTGTTCCCCCTCCCTGTTCTACTTACCTTCTCAAGCCTCCTTTTTCCATGTGCAACATGCATTTGGCGTGCACTGTGCATGCACAGGCGCAGCCTGCGCTTGGCGCACAGCGTGCATGCGCAGGCAGCGAACTGGTGGCAAACCGGGGAGGATTTCACCACTGATAAGAAACTCATGTAAACATTCATGAGTGCAAAGCTTGTAAAAATTTGATTGCACTTGATTGTGTAAGGGTGGCCATCAACTTGATTTATTTGATCTTCCTGCAGAATGACCATCAGTGGATCCAGTGTTTCTCAACCTTGGTAGCTTGAAGATGGGTGGACTTCAACTCCCAGAATCCCCCAGCCAGCAACGCTGGCTGGGGGATTCTGGGAGTTGAAGTCCACCTATCTTCAAGCTTCCAAGGTTGAGAAACACTGACTGGATCTATCATGTCATATAGGAAGTCCTTTACTTACTACTGGTCACAGTGATCGTTTGTAGCTACCACAGACATCCCCCCCCAAGATACTTATGACTTGATTTTAAAATTACAATGGCCACATATTTATCCCCCTCATGTGGTTATGTGATCACATTTTGGAGACTCGGCAACTGGCTCATTTTTACAGCTGTTTGCCATGTTCTGTGGTCACATGACTGTGATTTTAAATTTTTTTTTTTTTTTTTGCTGGTTTCCGATGTTCGTTTTAGTTTTCAGCAAAAACTGCCGTTGGGGAAAAATGGATTCACCTAAAGACCATGGCATTTGCTTAACAACCACCACAAAAAAAGTCATAAAATCAGGCCTGATCATATAGCGACCCACTTAATGATTGCAACTACTGGTGAACATCATTCCAGGCTCAATAATGGTCATAAGTTGAGAACTACCTATATGGCTGTACCTGACCTATCACATTTGTGTCCTAGAGCCGTGATGGCGAACCTATGGCACGCGTGCCACAGGTGGCATGTGGAACCATATCGATAGGCATGCGAGCGTTGCCCTAGCTGAGCTCCAGCGCATATGTACCTGCCAGCCATCAGATTTTCAGGCCTTCTGGGCCCATAGGAAGTCAGGAAACAGGCTGTTTCCGGCCTCCAGAGGGGTGGGGAAGGCCGTTTTCGCCCTCCCCAGGCTCCTAGAAAGCCTCTGGAGCCTGAGGAGGGTAAAAAATGAGCCTTCTGGTCCCACTATGCCAAAAGTGGGGAGCGTGTGTGTGGGGGTGTTGTGTGTGTATGCATCGGGGGGTGGGGAGCATTGAATTATGGTGTGGGCACGCGCGCGACCCGCTCATACTCCCCACGCTTTTGGCACACCACAGCAAAAAGGTTAGCCATCACTGGCCTAGAGAAAAGATCCATAGATCTGACTATTTTAAAAAAAGGTTGGTTTTATTGTCTAAAGCCACAGAAATATTTCTTTGTCATGTAGAACGTGGTGCTTTCAGGAGGATCTACGATGTTCAGAGATTTTGGTCGTCGCTTACAGAGAGACTTGAAAAGAGTAGTAGATGCTCGACTAAAAATCAGCGAAGAACTCAGCGGTAATCGATTAAAGGTAAATTTTAATTTCCCATTAAATGCCTGAACAAACAAAGGGAGGGCCTTGAACTGATTAGCAAGGCCTGTAAATCAGATGACATTTTTACAAGGATACTAACTGAATTTATTCAGCACAGTATCCTGCTCTGAGATGATTCACAAAGAACATTATATTATTTATATGATGATAGTTAGTTGAATGATGATAGTTAGTTTAAAGAAATGCCCAAAATCCAGAAAATGTTAGAACATTTTGAGCTCAGAATTATACTCCTTTGTAACAAAAGTGAGATTTTTAGCAGTCAGAGGTCTGGTTGCAAAAGGCTCAAAGGATTTCATTCTGGTTAATATGAGTGGAGTGGAGCAGTGGTCCATAAGAAAATTTTGGTGGTCCGCAGAAAAATTATTTGCATTTTTTATATTGCACTAAGTACTATTTATCTTTTTTAAAAAATCATATTAGTGGTCCGCGGGATTTAAAATTATGAATTTAGTGGTCCCTGAGGTCTGAAAGGTTGGTGACCCCTGGAGTAGAGGAGGAATGAGAGTTAGTTCGGTGTAGCAATTAAGACATCAGGCTAAAAACGGGGAGACTGTGAGTTCTAGTTCTGCCTTAGACACAAAGCCAGCTGGTCTCCTAGGGCCAGTCACTCTTTTTCAGCCCTAGGAACAAGGCAATGGCAAATCACTTCTGAAAATCTTACCAAGAAAACTGGAGGGACTTTATCCGGCTAGTTGCCAGGAGTCAAAGAAAGAAAGAAAGAAAGAAAGAAAGAAAGAAAGAAAGAAAGAAAGAAAGAAAGAAAGAAAGAAAGAAACAGAAAGATCTAAAGTTAAGAGACAAAGAAAGAAAGAAAGAAAGAAAGAAAGAAGAAAGAAAAAGAAAGAAAGAAGGAAAGAAAGATCAATATTTTCTCTTTTGTTGGACCATAGATGTCCAAACTGTGTGAAAAAAAATAGTGAAACCCACAATATTTTGGGCGGGTGCTTGTATCTGGCAAGTGTAATTACGCTCTTTCTAGTAGAATGGTACAATCTCTTGCATTAGGAATGGAGAGCTCAAATCTTGGGTAGTGAGCCATGGAGATTTGCAACCCGCATTGCTGGAATCTGAGCCAGCTTCATTAATTCTGCACAGATGGTTATTCAGAATTTCCTCTCCCATAATAACTCATTAAATACGGTGTGCTGTTCCAACTGGTGGGCCTGGTTAACTCAGCCTGTGTTGTGTTCTGATAATATTCTGCTTTTGTTTGTGTTTTGCAGCCCAAACCTGTGGAAGTTCAAGTGATCAGTCATCACATGCAGCGTTATGCCGTCTGGTTTGGGGGATCTATGCTTGCGTCAACGGTATGTCTTTTATTAAATCAGCTGGTCCTAGGAAAGCAGCACGTCATCTGTTCGATTCCTAGACACAGAAACTGGCTTCTCTTTTATTGTTCCCACCAGCAAATGAACTCATTGTTTTTCCCATTGCTGGTCAGGATTAACATCTTGCATTAATAAGATCAATTTGGAGAGAACAAATTTTGTTAGGCAAAATCCCCCAAAAAACTCCACTGACATTTCTCGGTTAAAAAATATCCTTCTAAGGATATTTTTTCTATCCTTAGAAGGATATCTTATAAGATAACCTTCTAAGGATATCTGATTAAATTTGTCTAAATCCACAGGTAATCCTCAATTTACAACGGGTTGCTTAATGGCCACTTAGTAGACCTCTCCAGAGTTATCTCTGACTCATTTTCAGAGTTACCATGATCACATGATCTCATTTTGGGCACTTGGCAACCTGCTCACCTTTACAGCCTTTTGCAGTGTCTCACAGTCACATGATTGTGATTTGTGACTTTTTTTGGGGGGGGTGTCAGTTTCTAGTGTTTACTTCCAATTTTTCAGCAAAAAATGCCTGCTGGGGAAAACAGTCTTGCTTAACGATCATGGCATTTACTTAATGACTGCAGCTTTAACTTAAAAGAAAGGTCATAACTTTGAATCTGTTCATGTGATGCCTTGATTTACAACTGCAACCTTATAACCATAATTCCTTATGACCATAATTCTGGTCATAAGTTGAGGACTTTCTGCAGGTTACAAACTAAGATGACCTGCATTTAAGAAGTAGTTTGAAACATCTGAAGATGTTTGCAGTTGGCAACTGCTGCTTTCAAAGTCCATCACCAAATAAATACGAAGCATAGAATAGCCCAAAGCACACATTCTGGTAGAGACAAGTTCCATGAGGATGAGCTCAAGAACAAGTCTGAAAGCTTGGAAGAGTAAACCTCTGGTCCCATTGACTGACCCAGACTGGATCCTGCATATTATCCTGGGGCACGTATATTCATCTTCGTTGTCCAGCATCTCTGCTTCTTTCTCCAGCCTTGAGCCTTGACTAACTACTCAGTGTACTGAATGATTCTCGTTGTACACTATTTACACTTCTGTGCTCAGTTCACGAAAACATGAAAACACTTTTCAGGCTCTAATTTGGAACAGCTCCAAGCCAATTCTGAGACCTCCAAGTTCAGAACCAGCTCCTTCTGGTGATAATGTAAGGAAGGAAAAATAGTCAGATAGGATTTTTGACAAATAGAATAGAATTCTTTATTGGCCAAGTATGATTGGACATGCGAGGATAATCTCTCAGTGTACAGTGTGCATACAAGCAACAAGTGATAAATCATGATCATAATCATAAAATACAATAATCATAAATCGTAAAATATAACACTCAGTGATAGTCATAGGATAATAAATCAATCAAAATAAATCATAACAGGATATTAATGAAAGCAATCAACATAAAACATAAGTTACAAACAACAAAGTTATAGTCATAAGATGCTAAAGAAATAGGAAAGATGAGAAGGATAATAGTAATGCAGCTCTACTAGGTGGTTTGACAACCAATGGCATAAGACAGTGTTGTGTGAATTAGTTGTTTAGCAGAATGATAGCATGGGGGAAAAACTATTCTATTTTGACAAATCATGGTGTAAGAGCAGACGTTAGCAAGTTTTCATCCATGTAATCACTTTGCATAGTAGCATAATGTGTGCTAGAAATGGAAGAAATCCTTTCTGTATTGCTTTCTTTAAATTTCTGTTCCTTATCCAAAGGGCTTTTGCCAAAAAATATCTTGAGGATATGTGTCTTTTTCTTTCAAAATAAACTGCCAATCTATCTTTGCCCCATGTAGTGAACTCCTGCTATTTCCAGATGCACTGTCAAGATGATCATGTACCATCAATTTTTGTTCTGGACTGGCTCATTTTCTTGATCATGCTTTTTCGCACTCAGCAGTTTCTGATCTATCCTTAATTTTTTCCCCCTCAGCCAGAGTTCTTTGAAGTGTGTCACACCAAGAAAGCCTACGAGGAATACGGTCCTGGCATTTGCCGTCACAATCCTGTTTTTGGAATTATGTCGTAAGATTCACGGTGCAGCATCATCTGTTCTGGGGTCTGATGGAGAACCTTCTGCTGACCAGGAGGAGAGAGACTTGGTGCAAATAGCAAACCTCAGCGTGGATGCTCCCTTGCCTAGAGAGTATGCATTAGAATCAGGGAGTTCAAAGCAATGGACCGGCTAGAGCTCAGTGGTGAAAAACGACTTGACTGTTAAATTAACTCCTTTCTGCAAGTTAGCTTCCAAGTGCACAACATTCGCTTTGCTAGAAGGGATGAAAGCAGAAACTGTTTAGATAACAGTTTTTCTCAACCTTAGCACTTTTAAGATGTGTGGACTACAACTTCCCATGTTGGCTGGAGAATTCTGGGAGTTGTGGTCCAGGCATCTTAAAAGTTGCCAAGGTTGAGAAACAATAGCCTATATGAACAGAGATAAGAACCCAAAATATGATGTTGTTACTCCTGACTCTGATATTCGTTCTAACCTTACCGTGCAGTATTTTTCAACCTTAGCAACTTTAAGCTTGGTGGACTTCAACTCCCAGAATTCTATTGAGGTCCACCCAAGCTTAGAGTTGCCATAGTGAATTTGGCCAGGGGAAAGCTCAGCCATTGTAAAATTGCGGTCTTGTTTCATTAAAAAAAAATACCCTACATTTGCAATATACGAAGGTTTTAAAAGTTTTACGCTTGCGGTTATGTTTGTGGTTGGTTTTTCTGCATAAGTACCCACAGAATTTGTGGAAGTGATCTGAGTGTCTAGGTAAGGCCCTTAATATTATGAGCCACCGAGAGTTATTTGAGATCGAGATGAGCAGCATATAAATATAATAAATAATGAAATAAGTCTTCCTTGCCACTAGTACACAACCCAAGGACATTCTTTGAGGATGCCATGTGTGTTTTTAAAATGGCAATGTTAATATTGGGCTGAACATGTTCTGCTTCTGGATTTAATTTGTAAGATTTATTATTGCTATTTATTTGATTTTTGGGGATTATTGTTTTAAAAATGGGAATTGATTCCTCTTGGTGAAATAAAACCTGTTAATGTGTTCACAAACAGCTACACTTGTTATATTCTACCTTGTTGAGGCCTTTTTATCTGTTTAAAATAGTCCCCATTTTACTATGGAATGGGGCTAATTTCTTAGTATATTCCTGGAGAAGATACAGTAGCTTTAATGTCAGGCATAACCATCATGATTTTTTTTATTAATTTCAGGAAGAACCTATTGCAGTTGAGTCAAGAGTCAACCCAATGTTGACTTTTTTTAAAAAAATTAGCAACTAAAATTATTGCTGGAAAGCAGTCATTTTGCCAATGAATTTTGGCAGCATATTACAGAGATACTCTGGGTGTTGCAAAGGGGGATTGTGCGTTGCCCATACCTGCTATGAGTGAACATTTGCTAGCATTCGTTCACTACATTTGTACAAACAGCAGGTTCAGTGACCCAGTTCTTTCCCTCTGCTTAGCAAATTCAGATACAAGATTATGCCAATTTCTGGTCTTGGGCAATTCAAAGCAGACAGAATCTTTTGTTGCTGGATTCTGTAGTGGAGTCCTTTTTTTTTTTTTTAAAAAAAACAGGATGTAAGAGGATGTAATCATAACATATATTTGCATATATTTGAGGACCCGGTTTGTGGGGGCAATAAGCTGACTTTGTATAAAAAAGAACACTGCTGGGGGGTGGGGGGGGCGAAAGCCCTACTAAGCAGGTATATACAAAAGTATGAAGGCTATTGCTTAACACATTGTAAGCCGCCTTGAGTCTCCGGAGAAGGGCGTCATATAAATCGAACCAATAAATAAATAAATAAATTGCAATCAGGGTGGTTTGAAACATCCATGCTTTCAATGAATCTGGTTGGACAAAATAACTGGATGTTGAGCAAGCAAAATGTTGAATTATACTAAAATCCACTGAATATTTGGATTCATTACCTATAGCCGTGTTGGCGAACCTATGGCACGCGTGCCAGAAGTGGCATGGAGAGCCATTTTTCCGGGCACTCAGGCCGTCGCCAAGCTCACCTGAAACTGTGCATGTGCACTCGCCCCAGCTGGTGCTCAGGCCTCTGGTGCGCATGTGCGCAATTCAGGGGACCCAGCTGGTCTTCGGAGCTCTCCTGTGTGTGCGGGTGTATTTGCGCATGCACGTGGGATTGTGTGTGCGTGCGCAGACAGTGCACTGTGCACGCAAAAGCTGTGTGCATGCGCATATTTATTTATTTATTTATTTGTTTGTTTATTTATTTATTTATTTATTTATTTATTTATTTATTTATTTATTTATTTATTTATTTATTTATTTATTGCGATTTATATGCCGCCTTTCTCCCTAGGGACTCAAGGCGGCTTACAAAATGACAACATCAATACAAATCACAATACAATACCAAATTAAAATCAGTAACCCAATTAAAAAACGATTTAAAATTATACCAGTGTACCCCCAAATGGATCAGTTGGTGCGGTTGTGTGTGTAGCATGCGCTAGTGCACATGAGTGAAAGCTGTGCGCATGCACAGATGGTGCAGTTGTGCGCGCAGCACGTGGGGAGGAGCCGCGTGTTACTGTGGATGGCACACAAGCACGCGCAGGGCGTGAAGTGCATTCCTGTTCGGCACTCAGTAAGTAACTTCCCAACCCTTTAGTCAATTACGGGAATTCCCCTTTCCCCCCAGAATTATTTCATTATAAGATATTTCATTATAAAATACAGACATGAGCTGGATACAGTGATATTTACATAAACCCTATTGGATGGTGGCTTCAGAGATGTTTCCGTACCTAACACTTGGCCACCCCCGCACTCCCCGACCCTAGCAATGCCTCCCTTGCAGCCTTGTGCACGGTCCTCATCTTCCCAAACCAGTGCTGTACTCATGCAACCTTGCCAAACTATGCAACTTTTCTTGTGCACCTTCCCTGATCCATGATGTGCTTCTTATCCATCCTTGGGCACCTTTCCTGATCCACATAGCACGTCTCATGCACTCCCACACATCCTACTTGACCTGTGCAGTGCCTGACATGTACATCGAGCCCGAAATTTATGTTGCTAGGTGAGAAATTTGTTAAGTGACTTTTGCCCCATTTTTCACCTTTTCTCGCCGCATTTAAATGAATCACTGCAGTCCTTACATTAACAACTGTGTCAGAAGGTGACAAAAGAAGTTCACATGACTCTGGGGTACTGAAGCAGTCATAAATGTGAGTTAATTGTCAAGCATCCGAATATAAATCACATGAACTTGGTCGTAAGTGTGGAAAAACTATCGTAAGTCTGTTTTTTCAGTGCCATTGTAACTTTGAACAGACACTAAATCAACTATTGTAAGTCAAGGACTACCTATATTGCACCCTTGTGCACTCTCCATAAGCTGTCAGTGTTTCTCGCACATTCACACCCTTATACACCTTCTCTATCTGATGTGATGTCTCCCTTGCACTCTGTGCTCACCCTCCCGAACCCCCTTGGCACTTCTCTTGCACCCTTGTGCATCCTCTCCAAATTATGTGGTGCCTCTCACTCATTTCCTCGTATCCCCCACAACCTACTTGGTGCCTCCTGGGCACATCCTCCCACACCAGTGGTGGGTTGCTCCTGGTTCGGTTCGGTTCTTGTGAACCAGTAGTAAAACCAGTGGGACACTCCACCAACCTGCCTGGATGTTATCATGGATGATCTGTGCATGCACAGAAGCGCGTGCTCCCGTTGCGAACCGATAGTAAAGGTAAGTAAAAACCCATCCCTGTCCCACACCTGCACTCAACTTGTTGTGTACGCTGTTTCTCCCTTGCACATTTTGCCTACCTTATTTAGTGCCCCTCACACACTCTCCCTGTCCTTACCCTGTACCCCTGGACACCTCACTCTGCCCAAGTCCTGAAACAATCACAGCTTTTCCAAGTTTCAGTCCTATAGGAGTGATAGGTCCTGGATTTGGGATGCATTCTGTAAGTTAGCTCATTTGAGATAAGGCCAGGGAAATCAGAAGATCCAGGCAATTCAAACAAGTATAAAGATTTGTTTCAAACTTAAGCTCTCTACGAGAATCTGAGCTACTAATGGTCCACGGAAATGGACAGTAGATGAGTGTCAAAGGAATTCAAGGTGGGCTGGACTTAAACCTCTTGTGGGCAACTCAAGACTGATTATGTGTTTGACCTCTGCCTCTGGCTCAGTCTGGTCATCTCCTACAGGAAACTTGGTTCAAAAATTGTTTCTCTATAACATGCTGTTTTCCCCAATTGAAAGAGCCTGGATAGCTCTGCAGACTGAGCACTGTAATTTAACACCAGCTGTCTGCAATTAAAGTAAGTTCGAATCTTGCCAGGCTCAAGGTTGACTCAGCCTTCCATCCTTTCTAAGGTAGATAAATTGAGGACCCAGTTTGTGGGGGCAATAAGCTGATTTTGTATAAAATATACAAAAGTATGAAGGCTATTGCTTAACGCACTGTAAGCCGCCCTGAGTCTCTGGAGAAGGGCGACATATAAATCAAATTTTTTTTAAAAAAAGTCACAGACACAAGGATTTTAGTAATATATAAACTAAAAATTGCTAACACTGTAATAGTTTAGGTAAGTTAAACGTTTAGAGATTTAAAAAAAAGATTATATCAGTATTGGATATAATTTCTGAAATGTTAATAAATATAAGGTTGCTTGAATTGTACAATTAAAGCTGAGTATAGCATTGAAATGCAATTGCAATTATTTATTACTTTGAGATCCCATCACTGGATGAACAGAACTGAGGGCAGTGAAGATAAGTTGTGTATCATTTGGAGTCAAAGAAACAGCAACGGAGGGATTTTGATCTTATCCAGCTTTAGGCTGAAGGATGTGCAGTAATCAGCAATGGGGAAGGACTGGATGAGTCAGCCAAAAATGTGCCTGTAATAACTTTTGTTTAACCATCCTGATTTGACATTTTTAAGAAATATCTGGTTGGCTTTCCATACTCTAGCCTATCCCCCAGGCTGCCTCACTGGTAAATGTTTAACAACCCTTGGGGTTCTTTGTGATAAATTTGAAAAATGTGGTGCATATGTCTCACCATCAAAGTTTCAATTAGACTCAATTAGCAAAGCTTTGACGTGATGGGAAGTGCTGATCCTCCTGTAAATAATTCATTCTTTATGATCATGCTGTTCTCCCTTGTCTGGAAAAAGAGCACAGGGGTGCCAAACGAGTGTCTGAAGGCACTAAAGCGAAAAGCTGGCTCAGATTCACCCCGGAGAGCAGCCGGAAACAGGAATAAATAATCTGCAATTTAATTGTCAACTGGAAAGCATTACGTAACACCAGAGAGTGTGTGAAACAAAGCTACAAACTCTTGCTCTGGAATACAGCTGAGAAATGCCTGCTTTGTTTAAGGTTACATAGTTTGAGTTGAGCAGTCTTGCTCAATCAATTAATCAGAATACAAAGTACAAAATAACAGAGTTGGAAGGGACCTTGGAGGTCTTCTAGTCCAACCCCCTACTCAGCAGGAGACCCTATACCATTCCGGACAAATGACTGTCCAATCTCTTCTTAAAAACCTCCAGTGATGGTGCACCTACAACTTCTGAAGGCAACCCATTCTCTGATTAATTGTTCTCATTGACAGGAAATTTAGTTCTAAATTGGATCTCTCTTTGACAGTTGCGTCCCTTTCTGGATCGGGACTCTTTACACACAGTCACTCATGCCCTCGTCACTTCCCGCCTGGACTATTGCAATGCTCTCTACATGGGGCTCCCCTTGAGGAGCACCCGGAGGCTCCAACTGGCGCAGAGTGCGGCCGCGCAGGTGGTTATGGGAGCGACATGGCGCTCCCACGTAACACCTCCTGCGCGAGCTGCATTGGCTCCCGGTGGTCTTCCGGGTGCGCTTCAAGGTTCTGGTTACCACCTTTAGAGCACTCCATGGCTTAGGACCTGGCTATTTACGGGACCGCCTACTACCACAATCAACCTCCCACCGGCCGGTACGCTCTCATAGAGAGGGGCTCCTCTGGGTGCCGTCGGCCAAACAGTGTCGACTGGCAGCCCCCAGGGGGAGG